CTGGGAGTTTGGGGGAGAATGGGGGACTCACTCCCGTGGGGAGTGGGGGGGGGAGAATGGGGGGCTCTCTCCCACTGGGAGTGGGGGGGTGGAGAATGGGCGGCTCGCTCCCTCATGTCATTGTCGAGGGCAGTAGTGGAGTTGAAGTTGGGAAGCTGGATAAATCCACGAGGGAGAAAAGGACAGAAGGATGGCTGGGTGGTGGTGGCAGTCGAGCAGGAAATGTCAGCACGGGTAGATGGGCCGAATGGTCTGCCTGTATTTTTGCCACATTACAGCGCGGGTGTGGGGGGGGGGGCCATTCGGCCCGTCACACTCATCGGGTCCTCCCTGCAGAGCAATACAGTCAGTCTTTATCGTACAGAATCATTTGGATATCTCCTGTTTATGTTTGTGTTTTGTTTTTGGTGGCGGGGAATATCCAGTGTAAGGAGCTGCAGGCGTTTATCCGGCCACTCACTATCCTCCTCGATGGGCTAAAGACCGGACGGTACAATAAAGGTAAGCGCAAGATTGAAACCGTTCTTTCTGAAGTTTGGTGTGAGGGTTTTGAGAACGGTCAGGAAAATGATATCGAGTCACCGAGTTGGACAGGACAGAAACAGACCCTTCAGTCCAACTCGTCCGTGCCGACCTGATATATTAAATTAATCTGGTTCCATTTGCCAGCATTTGGCCCATATCCCTCTAAACCCTTCCTATTCATGTCCCCAACCAAGTGCCTTTTAAATGCTGTAATTGTACCAGCCTCCACCACTTCCTCTGGCAGCTCGTTCCATACATGCACCACCCTCTGTGTGGAAAAAGTTGCCCCTCAGGTCCCTTTTAAATCTTTTCCCTCCTCACCTTAAACCTAGGCCCCTCTAGTTTTGGACTCCCCTATCCTGGGGAAAAGAGCTTGGCTATTCACCCTATCCATGCCCCGATCCATTCACCTCTGACACACACCAGGGAAAATAGCCCCAGCCTATTCAGTCTTATCCCCTCTAGTTTTGGACTCCCCCCACCTAGGGGAAAGGATCTTGGCTACTCACCCTATCCATGTCCCTCGTGATTTTATAAACTTCTCTAAGGTCACCCCTCAGCCTCCGACGCTCCAGGGAAAATAGCCTCAGCCTATTCAGCCTTTCCCTGTAGCTCAAACCCCCCAACATCCTTGTAAATCTTTTCTGCACCCTCTCAAGTTTAGCAACGTCCTTCCTATAGCAGGGATACCGGAATTGAACGCAGTATTCCCAAACTGGCCTAACCAATGTCCTGTACAGCCACAACATGACCCTCCCAACTCCTATACTCAATACACTGGCCAATGAAGGCAAGCGTACCAAACACTTTCTTCACCGTCCTGTCTACCTGCGACTCCTCTTTCAAAGAACTATGAACCTGCACCCCAAGGGCTCTCCAGAACCCTACCATTAAGTGTATAAGTGTGGATCAGAAACACCAGTATGCATCAGTTAGGCCAAACGGCCTGTTTTCTGTAAACGTACCTTTCTTTCCCCCTTTTGTTTCTCGAACAGCAATGCCAGGATTTGAACTCAGGACATGGTCCTATTCTTCTTTTCAGGTCTGACCAGTTTCCAGCAGAGTGTTGCTATGGACCGGATCCAAAGGATCGTAGGAGTTCTGCAGAAGCCAGGGATGGGGTAGGTGCCAGGGCAGATGGCTGCTGTCTTCCTTCTACACAGCAAGGCTTTCTGCTCGTTATCAAGGACCAATTCCCCAGTGCCAAGGGAGCGGGCACTGTCGGAGGGTCAGCGCTGAGGGAGCAGGCACAGTCGGAGGGCTGATGCCGAGGGAGCGGGTGCTGTCGGAGGGTCGG